AAATGTTACATTGTGGTAAACGAAATAATAATTTGATTTAAGTGAGAGTATTTTCCTCTTCCAGATTTGTAAAAAATCCTTACGTGATAGAAAAAAAAGAATATTATTTTCGAAATCTGCGTAGCTAATTATAGAAAATCCGTTATTAAAACGATAACAGATTTTATGAAGTTTAAATACGCAGGCCTGTGCAATTGTTTTTCTTTGTTTATGTTAAGTTCAGTTTCATATTTCTTCAACTTATCAATTCAGAAATTCATATTTAATTCTACATAAAATTTTCTTCCATTCTTCTTGCTATTGCAGTTAATATTCTTACCTGTAAGATAATTACTGCACCTGAAAATACCATAATATAAGGTATTAATGTCATAATTTGGTTCCATGACCACAGGATTTGTTTTTGCAGAGTATTCTGTTTTTCTTTATGTTCATTTTTTATGCTCTTCTCATGTGATATAATTTTTGAACTTTGAAGGGTTTGAAATAGAGTTTTCCAGCAGTAAAAGAACTTATGAGCAAAAAAGGAATTCTATGTTGAGAGTAGATCATCGTTTGAGAGGGTAGCTAGATTTATAAGAAGCCTTCTTCTGGGTCTTCAGAAAGAGACCTACCTCCAGAGATGCTTACCAGTTTATATCCCTGAGTTTTAATATTGGCTCACAGAAGACATTGATGACTGAGGCTGTACTTAATTACTTGCAGATTAATGGTTCTGATAATAAATAAAACAGTCTCTGTACAGACTGTCACTCAAAGCAGTCAAACCTCAAACCTCTTAATTGTCACCTGAGACTGGAGGTACCTCACTGAGATATGGGCAGCTGCTAAAAGCACAAAGATGAGTACAATATGGTAACTAATTCTTCTGCCACCCTGTAGTAGGGAATAACCATTCTTCTAAATGCAGAGGTTCATGGATATCAACACTATCCTGAGCCCATGGCACTACTGTTGTCTCCACCTGTTGCTGATGCACTACTAGAGGTATTACAAATCTATGTGAATGAGGTAAACCAGATTCTCCTTTAGGATTCAAGAGTATAGCCATAAAAGACCTGGACTGCTTCCATAAATATGTCAAACAGGTCACTGCTTGGAATGGTTAGTGTCAGGGACAGGTGTTACAACTTTTGATGCAGTGTCTTTACAGATCAAGCTCTTAGACAAGAAACAGCTAAGTGAGTGGCATACAGTCACCTCTGAGTTGCACAAACATTTTGACCCAATCTAAAATTGAGTTATCCATATGGCCAAATTCTAGGTTGAAAGAGAAGTCACTCTGAGAAATTGTTCTGTGAATGACTTATGCTACTTACATGGGAAAAAATATCCTACCATTGCATCAGCAAATGATGCAAGTATCCTTGCTGATAAGTTCATGGAATGACTACCAACACAAAAGATGTCAATGAGACATCAAGTTGGTGAAAGAGACTTCTACACCCTAATTAATGCAGAATCTTTGGTTATTTGGAATAACGAAGCTCAAATTATTAGCTTCAGTGGCTATTCCTTGGCAAGATCACCTTCCTGAGATGTCTTCTTCATTGTGGAAAGCACCTGCTTCATCGAAGGATACCCAACTGCAGAAATCCTGGTATCTTAACATGCAGCTCACTAGTGCTTCCCATGATAGTTATGCCCCATTATGGTGCTTGTTGGGTGGATCTGTGGACAGAAGGACCAAAGTACCTGCTTTGGTTGTATGCTGTTGGCCAAATTTAAAAAATTCCTTTATCTTGTCCCCCAACAATACAGGAAAACATGCAGTTCTGTCCAATTATTAAGTAGATGCAGAAATTTAGAACGCAAACTATGGCTGCCACCACTCACATCAGCTCTGGAAAATAACAGAACTCAGGTTTGATTTGACCACCTACTTTTAAAGCACAATATTAAGCTTTTTCGTAATATTTGCTGGTAATACCAGCATGTTCAGGTTTAGGTGCTCCTGTTATGTGCCAATAAAGATACAGAGGAGAAAGGATGAGTTTGTGGTTAATACAGTCGTCACCAAAATATCAGTTCAATTTGAAATATTTAGGTAAACCCACTATTCTCGTCAACCCATAAAGACTTTGTTCTCTTTGTGTATTGTGTAATCTAAAGTCAACACAATGACTCAGTAAACTGCTGGTTGAATATGTTGATTTTTAATGGGACCAGATGACCATTTGGAGCAGGAAACAGCAGCTCATCACCAGGTAGATACAGATAATGTTCATCTGATACATTAACTACTGTGGAAACTTCTCTGGAGTATAAAGGATATAGTCAGTGCTGAGATGCCTCATATGTTAAAATCATATAGCTTTTAGAGTGTTTGGTCATCTCCAGTAGCAATTGCCAGGAAAACGAACATACACCAAGATACTGTGTTGATATTAGATGGGCGAATGAAATGACTAATATTGATGAGTTTCCAGACATGGGAATATCTGAATGCATTGGAAGATGTCCATTCGCTTAGAACTTTAGATATTCCTTCCATATAAGGCAAGTTGAGCTGGTCAAGGAGAGGCGGCCAAAAACTTCTTTAGCATTCGAGATGGTATTTATGAGTTCTGTGTTATACTGTTCAGCCTGTTGATATGCCTACCACTTTCAAGTAGTTGATGGAGCAAAAAATGAGAGGGCTACAATAGGTTTGTCTAAGCTACTCGAGGGCTATCTGTGCTAGCCATCCCTAATTTAGCAGTGTAAGACTAGAGGGAAGGCAGCTAGTCATCACCACCCACCGCCAACTCTTGGGCTACTCTTTTACCAACGAATAGTGGGATTGATCAGCACATTATAATGCCCCCACGGCTGAAAGGGCGAGCATGTTTGGTGTAATGTGGATTCAAACCCGTGACCCTCAGATTGCGAGTCGAACGCCCTAACCACCTGGCCATGCCGGGTGGTTAGCAATAGGAGAGATGCTTAATCTTTATTGATGATATCTTGGTATTTGGTTACACATTTCAATCTGTTGTTGAAAATCTGGACTTGTTTTTTCTCTGCTCTTCTCCCAGCCCCCAGTGGCACAACGGTATGTCTGTGGACTTACAACACTAGAAACCGGGTTTCGATACCCGTGGTGGGCAGAGCACAAATAGCCCTTTGTGTAGCTTTGTCCTTAACTACAAACAAACAAACTCTTCTTCCCTTTAAGAATACTCTATATGAGCAGATAGATGGCGTTGCTAACGGCTTCTCTCTGGGTCCTACGCTTGTCAACATTTTTCTCTGTCACCACGAACAGAACTGGATTGACAACTATATTTTAATCTTCAAAATGTTCTCTAGAAGGAATGTTGATTATACTTTCTTTATTTTACGCCATACTGATCATATCCAACGCTTTCTTGACTATCTTAAATCACAACCCCTCTATACACTTCACTCATGAAACTGAGGCAAATAACTCTATTCCCTTTCTGGACGTTCTTGTTAACTAACGTTCTTGATGCTAACGGCTTTTCAACTTGCATCCATCGTAAAATCACATTTACTGGTATTCTCATTCAGTTTGACAGCTTTATACCCTTCTCTTTCACTCGCAATCATATTCTCTGCCTAATAAATAGAGCTTACAAACTTACCTCATCCTATCTAGCCCTTCACAAAGAAATTACTTCCATACAAAACATTATCTTTCGAAACGGATACCAAAGCATTTTTTTTTTATTTTTAGAAAATAACTTTCTCATTCTTAACTAATTTCTTTGTCAAACCAACTAAGATGCCCACTGTACCCAAACTTCCTTTATACATCTGCTTACCATATCTTGGGAGACAGAACTCCCTTATCACGAAACAGTTGGAAAAATTATGTAACTCTTACTATCCCCATATAAAAGTTATTATGAAATCTAATTTCAGACTAACAAAAAAGTTCCGCTACAAAGATTGTTTGCCGACTACCCATTGTTCACAACTCGTCTACTTAAACACGTGCGGGGACTGTAAGACCTCCTATACTGGTGAAACCAAACGTCACCTTAAGGCACGAGCATGTGAACACATGAGCATATTTATAAAAACTGGAAGAAAGGTTACAAACCCTCCCAACTCCGCTATCTATCAGCATAATACAGAAACAGGAAATCCGATTTCTCTCTCAAACTTTAAAATTATCTCAACAGCCAAACATGATACTGAACTTCTAATAAAAGAAACATCATACATAAAAACTCTTCTTCAGTCCCTAAATAATTCACATTCTTCACTTGATTTAAACCTATTTTAATTTAACTATTTCATTTGTGTCACATTTTTCATTTTCTCTTGTGTTATAATTTATATATTCAAATTGTTTCTGTTGTAATTATAAATATTGTTTGCTTGTTTTGTACTTCTAGATTACTGATGATAGAATTTTGATGATCCCAAAACGTTTAATAAATGCTTCCTATTATCACGTTCGTGTTTTCCTTTATCATTAATTTATATCATATTTTACTTGTACAAAATTTAGTTCATAATTCAATATATGTTTAGAGTATTTTTCTTATATATTCTGAAATGTAAATTATTATTTTGATCATTGTTAAAGGAAATATTTCCCAAATGTCATTCTATTGTTATAGTATTGTATTTTAACTCTTGACAATTATAGTACAATTTTGTTAAAGGGCTGTGTTAGTCTGTCTTGTCCATCTGTATGTTCGTCAGATGCAAGAATAAGACACTACAAAAGCATAATTGGTATGCAAGTTTGTATTTTTTATATCATTGGGTTTAAAAATAAAATCAAAGTCAACTTGAAGAAAAGACTGTAGTAATGGAAAGAAGAAATATGTTGAGTGAATTTTTCAGTTATTTCTTTTCGTTCTTTAGGTTAGACAGATGAAAATGTTCACCTACAAATTTTCAAATTTGTTCACGCTTATGCAGTTTCAAGTGCATGGGTAGATTTAGTATATATAAAAACCAGTTATGGAACGTATCTAACTTGTTAGTGTCCTAGTTACAGATTGCCATAGGCCATTCGTATTTACTCATGCTGTACTCTCCCATGGAAGGCATCACTGTTTTCTTTATTACTATTTATGTTCTTTATATAGATAAATTGCTTACAAATACTGGAAGATACGTTATCCCTTTTTGTACTTGTGGGATGAGTAAGTGAAGTAGTGACCCAGTGAACTCCGTGAAAGATAACCTTATTGTTTTCTCTGTATAGAAGTTAACTCTCTCAGTCTACACCAGAAATAGATTAGATTTGATCACATCTTCTTCTGACTCAAAACTTTTGATAGTTTGTCAGCAATCTTGTGAAGTTCTTAATTCTTACTTGTGTTGTAGATAAATAAATAAAGGCTGTATTTTCACTTTGTTTGTCCAGTTTCCATTTTGTTCTACTCAGTCAATACGGAAATTCATATATATTTCTGTTATTGTTGTTATTACTCTAACTATAATTACCTTTAAGGTAACTAAGAATACCACAACTACTTCCATTGACAAGTCTTTTCAGGCTAAATTAAGTGCTCTAATGTCTCTCACATTTCCATAAAGTGGACTTCTTTATATTGTAACAAATTTGAGTTTGCATATAATCTATTATATTGCTTTGCTATTCTACATCTGCTATTAACTCTCTTCAAAACTTCAAATGTCATTTTCCTGTGCGACTGTATATATTTTAAGGTTTTGCACTTGTTTAATATGGGTCAATTTTTTGTCGCTTACCTCACTTCTGCAAACTATAATGCTTACTTTCTTTTATCTGATTCCTATATCTACTTTCTACTGCATTCAAAATTACAATTTTCTAGTTATTATTTCTTCAAATATGTTTTTCTATAAATCAATCAAGCTTCAAAAGCCATTATCCTATGCATTTATTCTACATTTCTGCACTTTTTCCCATTGTTTACTCAATCTTTCGTCAACGGCTGTTTTAATTATTTAGCTTATAGGGATAACTACCCCTGCATCCTGTCTCAGTTGGGATCTTTTTGTCCATTTTTATCACCTTATGAACTTATGACCTTAGATTGCTGCTATATATATATATTCGAACTTTTAAGTTACGATATAAAATTGCACACTAATAATTTTGACCCATTTTTATACAAGAAAATAATATGCTGGATAGTATGAAAACAAAACATTACAATAATTATTAATATGATTTATTTACAAAGGAATGAAACTAAAAACACTATTTGTAAGTTTAATGCTCTTAGGAATAAAAGAAAACCAGATAAAATATTAATATTGAATGTATACTATTTCTTGTGTTTACTAAATGTCTATCTTCTTTTAAGGTACAGAGGATATGTGCTGATAAATTCTCAAAATGAAACATTTATTGCGAACCCTGCTAACTTTAGCCAGAATATTGTGGCTAGTTTCATGTCAGAGCGTTACGCAAATAAGTGGAAAGAATGTTGTCTTGCAGCTGTTGAATGCTGTAACAAAATGACCTCATCTCCCCCTTGGAGTTCAAGTAAGCTAAAACAATATAAATATATGAATATTCAAAAACCATTATAATTATCCTACTTACAATATTGAAAGTTGTGTAGTAAGTGCAGAATCCTCTTAAATTACTATTTTCATATTTTCCAATCTACAATAAAATAAAAAATATGAAGATTCGTAACTTACACTTAACTTATTAGATCTCTTTGTACTTATACAGATAAGAGTGTCAATTTTTGAGTAAAGACTAATTTTGAAAAGTATTATTCTAGTGTTTGCAAAATTAACTGTTTTTAGTAAATGTTCCTTGTGTTTTATCTGTGAACAGTGAAACGGCATGAATATCGGAATCCAACCGAAAAACTAAGTGACTGATCCAAATGATCTATTTATAACATCATGCATCTAGCACAAACATCATTTTAACTAACAAAAAAGCTGAAACTACTTCTTTGTTTGATTACTGACTTTTTTAAATATTTTAACTAAAATATTCGATGCACAAGTGGTATATCTTTCGAAAAAGTACATCAATTTGCTACCGGGGTCATTAGCAACAAATGAATCAAATATACTAAAGATTCAGCTGTTTGTGAGAGATTGAAGATTTGCTGAAGAATATTACAATCAAATTTGTTCAAGCTTTCTAAAAAAACAATTTAATGTGAAGCCAACACGTTAACTAAAAAGAGTATGTTTTCATATCTGGGATATCATAAAAATTAAGATAATATACATAGATTAGTCATTATGTTTCAAGTTTCTTACACAAAAGGTCTTTCTTATACACCAGACCAGAATAGTTAACAAACTCTGTAAAATTTCTCTCAACAGTATAAAGAGTAACATTTGTAACTTAGATGAGTGGACGGACCTTTGTGGTATAGTTTGGAAGATTGTTTGTTTTGTTTTGTAATTAAGTACAAAGCTACACAATGGGCTATCTGTGTTCTGCTCACCACGGGTATCGAAACCCGGATTCTAGCGTTGTAATTCCAGCAGACATGCCGCTGTGCTACTGGGGGCAGTTTGGAAGATGTTGAAAAACCTTAAATAATCCATTTTTCCACGATTTGGTTTAATTGTATTAAAAAGTTATTAAATTGAACAATGAAGATTTTAGGATAAACATATAGAATATTCATGAACTTCTAGGGAGACACAATGAAACTGGTTCAAATAACTTGGGTAGCAGAGGGCATTGAAGATACAGTGTTCTATTGTTATAGAATCAGCTCTGGCGACACAATGTTTTATTCTTATAGAACCTACTCTGGTGACACAATGTTCTATTGTTAAAGAATCAACTCTGGTGACACAATGTTATATTGTTATAGAACCAACTCTGGTGACACAACGTTCTACCCCTCGAAGTGGATATCTGTACGCGGTGAGGGAATCTCCCAGGAAAGGTTCTGTATTTTCAGTTGCTTTCTCTGGAATCTAAACACCCACCCACGTGTTTGCCATGCATGGCGACCCGTGAAGGGAAGGAGAGGATCCTGGTGGTTGAGTGGTGTATGGGGCACTCAACACACCACTTTGGCCTTGAATTCCTGTAGACGGGTAGCTTTGGGGTCACTCGGGCTAGTGTCAACGGAGTACCAGTGTTGGGCGTTCTCAACGGGTGTTGTGGACATCGTGTCTGATGCTAATCTTTGGGTATAGTGCTCATGAAACCCTGGCATTTCTGCAGTGCCCTTGTTTGACATTTTAGTGCGTCCCCTCTTAGGACTTCATGGCGGGTGTGGTCAGTGGGCTCTGAATCTTTCTCCTTTATTATGGATCCCCCAAATCCAAATAAAAAAAATTTAAAAACTCTGCTAATCGGTAAACGACCACGCCTAGAAGACTCTGAACACCAGTCTCCACCACAATGTGGACCTGTACTTCGCTTTCTGATCCTGCATTCACTGTCCAATAAATCTTTAGGGCAAATGTCTCCCTTTTTTATTCAGAAGGAGTTAGAGGGGCTTGCTGGCTCTCCAAAGTCAGTCAAGAAGCTATGCTCTGGGGATATCTTGGTGGGAACATCAACACCAAAACACAGTGAACTCCTCCTGAATTCAAAGACCATTGGGGACATACCCATTGAGGTTACTCCCCACGCTTCTTTGAATTCTTCACGAGGAGTTATTGTCGTGAGGGACTTGAAGACAATTTCCGAGTCAGTGATCCTTGCTGGTTTCTCCAGGCAAGGAGTTTCAGCAGTTCAAAGGATTTCCATTCATCAAGATTGAATTATGGTGCCGACCTCTGTTCTCATTTTGACGTTTTCATCGCCACGTCCACCTGCCACTGTTAAGGCAGATTATTTGAACTGTAAGGTACGGCTGTATGTTCCTAACCCTCTCCAATGTTTTCAGTGCCAGTGGTTTGGTCATTCAAAGACATCTTGTCATGGTTCTGTGACGTGTGCTCGTTGTGGTGGCAAGGACCACTATGCTTACAAGTGGAAATTGGACCCTCACTTTGTTAATTGTAGTGGTTCCCACTCCTCTTACTTTAGGTCTTGCCCCAAGTGAGTGGAGGAGAAAGAGGTACAGCGTTTGAAGACTACTGATAACATTTCTACCCTGAGGCTAGGAAGCTATTGCTCCCTACTCCATCTCGGACATATGCCACTGCTACAGTGGGGGCACAGACGAACCTTTCTGTACCTTCATCTGAGTCTTTTTCACGCCATGTGAGGAGTCTTCTGCCCTCCATGGATAATAAAGTTGACCAGTCTACATATACTCCAATCTCTGTCCCCACTATTCCATCCTGTGACTGCATGGGTCAACCTCCTCGGGCACCAGCCTCCAGTGCCTGCTCGTGTCCGTCTTTGGCCCCCTAGATGCAGGATGATCATCTGATCACGTCCTTAGTCATTGGATTCTCACTCTGATGACAGGGATCTGCCCACTTGATCAAGG